GTCATCCTATTCATGTAGCCCCTTCCGCCGGGGTTACTTGCGTAGTAGCATTCCAACAATGCCCTGTTTTCGTCTCTTGCCCACCGATGCCTTCTTGTTCCATATATGGCAAATACGTTGGGTTCCGTGTCGGGCTCATAGCCGAGAACTAGCTTTACTTTGTTGTCTGGGCCAAATTGCTAGCGAGAGAAAGAGAGAGGCATTCCAATGGAATTTATTGTTTCGGAGGAAAACACGAAAAAAGTGTACAGCTGGGTCTTAATAGCTTACTTACAACTGGGCTCGTCAGGCACTCTTTTTGGCTTTAGTGGTTATTATTATATTTGCATGCTTCCAGCTCCCGTTTCTGCTCGGTGACAGCTCATACTTTTCCTTTTTCTCCCTCCTCACGCTCACAGACACATAACGGGTATGGCAGTCCATTCTCCCTGCAGTATGGACTACACTGCCCATGAAGCTACATTCTTTAGAGCTATGCCTGTAACACTCTGCCTATTGCCTTTATATTAAATCATTTTTGTGAATAATTTTCTAAAATATTTCTTCACGTCATTATGCAGGCCGCAAGTAGAAGTGACATGGGCCGTGAGATTGAGACATAGCTATTAGAGCCCCTTAATGCGTGTTTTCTTTGGGGCGTGGAAACCAAAAATAGAGAGGGCATAGCTGAACATATGAAACAGGAAAATACCACAGTGTAATCCCTTTATTTCAGCAAAGTAACTGTATTCTGAATACCACCTTACCACCTGTAATGGAATACAGTTATTCATATTTTGTATTTTAAATACGTAACGGCAGTACATGTATTCCGTTACTCCCCAACACTGATGGTGTTTAAAGGCAGGTGCGCGAAGATGAGCATGTCCCTCCTACCTGGTGTTGACAGGTGTGTGGAGCTACGAAGTATGCTGTAGCTTTGCTGTTGGAGTTGCAATTTGCTTCTGCACATAAAACTTTGGCTTGACATTTGGATGTGTGGGGACAAGAAGCAGTTGACCCAGGCTACGGTCCAGTCTGAATCTTTAGCGAAAGAATATTCTTGGGATATTAGGTACGGTTCTTCAGACATCTTTAGGAGGTTTAGTTGTCTTAAGTTGTTCACTCACAATCTTGTCTTAATTCCTGGAGTCTTGTTCTTCCTTTCTAAAGCATTCTATTTTAGCCAGAAGAATGTTAGTACATCTTCTTATGTTGGTAATCCAAGCTCATACCTTATATCTCATCTTCAGTGCAGAGATCTGATTTTTAAATTGATGACGTGGCTCCTGTAATTGTAGAGAAAAAAATAAGCCATCAGAAAAACCATCGAGTATGGAGAAAAAACTCAACTGAAATTGTTTCTTCTCAGAAGTAATGTATTATTATAACTGGATTCAGTGGTTCTGGAAGGCTACTGTAACAGTCTTTCACACAGAAATACATTTTGCTTCTTGCTTTTCCTTTGGTGTTTTCTGACAGCAATCATTGTTAAATTAATTTGGCATTTCAGATCATCTTGTCTGTGAAGGTTCTCAGTCATCCAGGTCATCGTAGTCAAAGGAGCTTGCAAAGAAAAGCGTCTGGATGATGGAGAGTCCCAGATATAAACCTAGTGGGAGTAACCCCCCCACAGA